AGACAGAAATTCGAAGTGCTCTAGCTATTATGCCCTTTGGGCTCCAATACATAACTATTTGCAGATGTATACAAGCATAGATGATTGCTGTGTAAGCTTCCTCCAAGCCACAAATCTCCAAGCTCCAAATGTTCTCTAAGGGCTCGGTCCGCGGCAGCAGAACGCCGAAGCGCACGCGCTTGCGGCCCAGCTGAAGCAGCTCGGGCTCCAAGAGCCGGATGATGGCCTGGTCCAGGTCAGCCAAGTCGACCTGTTTTGGTGATTTCAATATTTGAGATCAACATATCCCTAAACCTATTTGACATCTACAGTGTGTCTATTTGGCATGTCCAGCGACGGAATCAAAAAACAACAGTTTGATACCTTTTTGCCTTACCCTGCTCTTGTTGAGTCACTTGGTATGAACAAAGCAGCTGACCTACAATCCCTGAAATCATGAATGGATAGGTCGAGTTCACCACCTGTTTGGTATTGGGGGAACCGTCATCGTTTCAGGGCCCTGGCATCCACTTCCATTAGTATTTTCACGGAGGGACACTTGGGCGTTGTGGGACAGAGCCACACAAACATGAGATCAAGCAGGGATGTCGGAAAAGACGCAGCTGATTCCTCAGCTGAGGACTTCAATCTTTCTCTTGCAACTCGTGGATCATGGTTTTCTACCTCTGAATGGCACAGACCTAGTGTGACAGACCAGGGCCACCCAACCACAGCAAAACCACACCAAAACCCATCGCGTTTTGGGTCTCACCTGGGTGAGGCTCACTGTCGGCGTCCCACGTTCCAGCGGAAGTCCAGTGATGCTCATGGAGATCCCCTCGTCGAACTGGACGCTGTTGGGCCTTGGCGGCTCAGCAGTGGGTGGGTGGGTGGGTGGGTGGGTGGGTGGGTGGGGTGGGAGCCAACGACCCATGTGTGTCGCTGCTGGTCATCACGATATGAGTCACCAGACATGTCGCTTGCTTCGGGTGATCAGGCGGGGGAAGTTCCTGTTGCTGTTAGGAAAAATGTCTCCAATAGGCCTACCAATTGTCATACTAATACCTCTGAATCACTGGTTTCAAGTCGCACCTTCCTGTGGAGAGTCCATCAGAGTAGATGGCACAATCCCCAAAAGGTGGTTATTTGGACCCCGATGAAGTTTGAAAAACACCTCTTTCGTTTGTGCAATCTACTCTGCAACCAACAGAGAATCGACTGCCGAGGCACAAAGAGATCAACATGGCTTTGATCTTGCCTTGCTCCACTGTCATCTCCTGTGTGGTTTGGAACCCAACAACTGGAAAGGAACGCAATGTATTCTTTCCAAGCGAGGTGGCACAAAGTTCGCCTAAACATCCTAGGTCTTCCAAAACACCCTCTCTTGGATGAAAGGTCTGCCACAACACCCTCTCTTGGCCCATCTCCGTCAGATCTGCGGTGTCTGCGGTGCTCCTGGTCGACTTGGAAGCTCAACTCGACCACGGCGGCTGCGACGATCGCTTGGCGCTCCAGGTTGCGCAGGAGCATCGTGGGAGCTTCGCGGACCTGAAGTAACACAGAGTCAGCGGGAAGGAGCATCCCTTGTGAAGTCGATGGAGGTCTATGGAGGGTCTACTTCTCCATTCATATGGGGTCTACCTCTGGGATTCATCACGTGAAGCATCGCTGTAGCCAATCCCAAGATCCATTGATGCACCGTTCCAAAACTCAACAACATGTCTCATCATTCTTGGAAGACCTCCCCTTCCCATCCTCAACCCTGCACAACAATGTCACACATTTTGACACCCTCATCTTGGAAAAATAATGAAACATATAACACCTTCTCCGGCCTTTCCATCCGAAACCCCTTCGAACCCCCCCTTCACGCCCCGAACGCCCCATCGATCGCTCCGAGCTCGCTCGCTCGCTCGCGACGCTCAGCGACCGGCCAGTGCTGGTGCTCGCTCAGCGCTGGCACCGTCACTTGCGTCGCCGCATCCACCAAACGCTGGTTCTCATCGTAGACTTCCACCCGGAAGAGGTCTGGTGGATCCTCTACCGGAGTGAGGTGGAGGGAGATGGGAGGAGATATATATATGGCACAAGTGGTGTGTGTTGGTGTGTTGATGTGTAGAATTTGGGGGGAGAGGGGGGGGGTTAGCCGCATTTTTGGGTTGGGAGCATGCGTGTTGGGGGTGTTTCTGTTGTTGGATACGTTCTTTTGTGGGGGTTGTTGGATGTTGTTGTCCTGGGAGGTCCGTCTTGTGTTGAGCACAAGACAAGAAAGTACATAGATGTACGTAGTTCAAAACACAAACAAGCGTCTCTGGCATCGTTTGGGTTCAGCGTGGTGCAGCGCAATCACGCTTCAGAAACAACTAGACTATATTGCAAATGTCCTGCTGTCTGCAAGCATTAAAGGCTAGGAGTGCCAAAGGTTGATGTTCCCAGAAAATGGTTCCAACATGTTCCGACCAAGTAGCTGGAGGGAATCGTTCTGAATACTAAAGTGAGAGCAAATACATTCCGCCTGAAAGATTCTTTCCATCAAGCATGTGCAGAAAGAAGACCTGTGGTGCGCCTGTCTAGACTGCTGGTCCTAAATGCACTGCAAAAAACTTCATTCGACATGTGTTTCACATCCCGCCCACAGGATCCATGAAACACACTTACACCTGGGAAGATTAACATGGAACCTGAAGACATGGACCAGACTGGAAGACTATTTTCCTCTACAACCCGACGTGTTTTTCAGGTTGCATGTTAATTTTGCAGAGTGCACCTGCCTGCAAGTATTGAAATATATTGAAATGCCTAACCAAATGGACGCAAAATGAACCTTCTGCTTCCCGCGACTTGGAAGTCGCATGCCAGAATACTTCGATGATTTGACCTGTCGAGGAAAATCAAGGCACTCAGTGCAACAAGGATCCAAGAGACCAAAAAGCAACCCCAATGGACAAATAGATATGACACAGATCCTCCAAAAGATTATAGACACATCATATCATGAATCATATCAAGTGGAACGGTACATCTTCTTTCCCACATATCGCAACTTCCATGTTCCCTTCCATCAATGCAAGGATGTTCTCCGGCTCCTCGTCAGGCAAGGCCACAGACAAGCTGATCAGCCAAAAGCCCACAGGCACTGGCTGAGCCAATAACACCTCCAGCAGCCGTTCAAACGTTTAGAAATGAGAACCTGCAGGGTGTTGACCAGTCCACTTAGCATTCATCAACATAATCTATATGATATACATTGATGAATCACCTTGGATGGATCAGTTGGATGGAAACTGTTGGATGGATCAGTTTATTATATGTTATTGACATATATTGACGGTTGCTTCACATTGGATGAACAGCGCCCCCCTGATCCAGAATGGTTTGTACATCTCCAGGAAAGTATGATTCATCAACAGCCATCAACAATCGAATCTACACAGTTCTACAACCATCCTGGAGTAGATCGAATATGAACCAACCCCCAAACAGGACCAGTCTCTTAGTGGCTTTTCGATTTGTCCACATTCTATCTACTCCAACACCTCCATGATTTGCATCTGGGATTCAACGGTCTATATAGTAACCGGTGAGATCAGGGTGCCCCACACACAAAAAGCATCGCTCCTTCGAGCTCCCTGGGTCCCTAGCCTCGCTCCGCGCGGTCGCCTCAGTTCGGTTGTCCTCGTCTCGACAACTGGGCCCGAAGCGCCGCAGGGACATCGGCCAGCGGGGCGCGCCGCGCACCAGAGAGCCGTCGGGGTCAGCGCAGGTCAACCTGTGGAGGGCGGTGTGCGGTGTGCCTAACCCGTGGAGGATCCATGGGACAGTTTTCATATGAAAAACCCATTGTATGATGAACTTAGGCGATCAACAAAACCCAAACCCACGCAAGTAGGCCATGCATACTGTAGGCCATCATTTGCTGTCCCATGGAGTGTCTGGACTAAAACTTGATGGGACGAGCTGTTCAGATCAGGCCAGGGGTGAGCTGTTCAAATCTTTCAAGGGCCCGTTGGATGGTCGTCGTTCGGGTGGAAAGGGTGGGTTCATGTGGGTTCGGTTTGGTCAAGGAGGTTGGAATGAAGATGACGCCTCACCCAACGACCAGGTGGGGAGATGGAAGCCAAGATCAGCAAGCTGTGGATACTTGTTTGAGGAGGTGAAACGATAATTTTCAGGAATAGTAGGGGGTTCTTGCTCTTCTTTATCTTCTTTCAAGAATCCATGTGTTGAAGTGAAGACTATATAATGGTGCCTTGAACTAATCATACTGATGCAGTAGTTCTTCTCTTTCTTGGGGAACGTGGACTTTGTTGGACAATTCAAAAGCCAAAGCCAACACGATCGCGCGTCCTTGTTGATCACAAACAAACGAACTCATCATGAAGCATCAACGACCTGATTTAAGGTGCACAAGTGCACAAAGAAGAAACATGAAGAGGATCTCAGAACTGAGTCACGCCTTCTTTCAACGATTGGCCTACTGAACTGCCCCTTCTCATGTTCACACATCTCCGAAGTCCCGAGGTGTGGCTCGGAATGCACTGTCCCGAGGTGTGGCGCTGTGCTCATGATGCTTTCGACACCACGGAAGGGGGGCACACAAAAGGTGGCTTATTGATCTGCTCTCCGCAGTGGTTGTGCAAATCCAAGTTTCGGTGCTGCTTGTGGTTCCCAAACACATGGGACCCTAGACACATGCGACCCAAGACCTCGGGTCCCAAGGCACTCTCCAAACACATGGCAATTTGAGGCATTTTAAGGAGGCTGTATATTTTAGAGCTTTACATTACATGGATCCCCATGAATCTTGTATCCGCTTGGTGCCATCATCTCCTGCAACATGTTAACACTTTTCTGTTCTTTCCTGCCGTGCCTGCCATAGGTCGAAGGAGGCTGGATGCGAATCGACTTCACAGGGGTTTCCTTGGAAAAAGCAGCCAAAGACAGCTGGCAGATCAACATCTGAACCCAGTTTCTCCCCAGAAAAGGCCAGCTCCGACGAACACCTCACACGCATACGTGATGTTACTTGGATGGCATGGATGAAAATGATCTCTTGGAAGACGACTGTCCTCCACAAACCCAAGAGGGGGTATGAACTCCCCTTCCAGGTTGGTGGAGTTGGAGTGTCTCTTCGACCCAAACCTACCAGATTACCTACCAAATACCTAGCGAATCAGCTCAGGGGAGACTCTCCAAATCGACGAGGAGGATCCCTCAGACAAGGACTGCCAAACAAGGCGAAATGTCTCATGATCATCTGACCAGGCGAGCCTTCTGACCTCAACACAACCGTTGGCACATGTATTGCACCATAGCCACATCAAACACTTCTGTCAGCCCTAGAGGGCCATGCCAAAGAACTGACTTCGAGCTAGCCTTAACCTGCTGCTTTCACCCTCTTGTTTCACCCTCTTGAGCTGCGTTTCTTGGTCCAAGCGCAGCGTGAGGATCAGCTCCGTCGACCTGCATGGATCGGTTCTGCTGCACAATGGCTTCGATCGCAGGGCAGGGACAGCTTCGGCGGGTTGTATGCATGTCACCTCACCACATCCCATCATAAGAAGGAATTTAAGAAGGTAAGTGGGTGTGGACCTAAGACCCTTCAACCAGCCCATCATAATAAGTGGGTGTGGACCTAGGACC